AAGAGATATGCCAGCAAGCAACTTATGATTTACTTCACATTCTTTGGAAGGCAGGATACAAGGTGTCCAGGAAGAAAGCTCAGTTGTGTCAGGCAACTGTCAAGTATCTGGGATTCCATATCCTTGAAGGTCAAAGGATAATGGGGCCTGAAAGAAAAGAGGCTGTATGCCAAATACCAACACCTAAGAATAGAAGACAAGTGCGAAAATTCTTAGGGGCAGCAGGCTTCTGTAGGATATTGTAATGGTATTTATTAATTAATGACTTTTTGTCATAAAAAAGCATAATGAGCTTAATGCTTTAGACGCACCACTAGATGTCAGTAAAGCATAATGAGCTTAATGCTTTAGAGGCACCACTAGGGGTCAGTGTGCTAACTCATGTGCTTCTGGCAGTGACATCACAGGCCAGCCTACTTACTGGATAAAACCAAATAGTAGAAGGATTTCCAGCCTCCTTTTTCCTTTGCTTGCATTGATTGAACATGTAGCTGACTGTGTAGCTCCAGCCAAACAGGCTGGAGCCGTGTAAGTAATCTATTATAACAGCTAGCAACTGTTATAGCCTTTTGTAAGTAATGTTGTAGTTTTGTATTGTGTAATTATTGTGGTAAATTGACATTCTGCTAGCATTTGTTTAATTGTTATTATAATTATATTAAATATACATTTAATACTACAATGTTTTGTGTATTTCCTATTATATATTCGACCATAATACCGAACTCTATTAATGCTGTTATTTGTTGCTTAATTATTATATATTAATTATTAAATTAATATTCATATTTAAGTCACGACTGTAACAGCTATGGATTCCCAGTTATGCGATACTGGCAAAACCCCTCTATGCCGCTATTAAAGGCACGGAACATGATTCCTTTCTGTGGACCATCGAACAGCAGAAGGCATTTGAGGATGTTAAGAAGGTATTGATGAGCGCCCCCGCATTAGGTCTACCTGATCATACACGTCCATTCTACTTATATGTACACGAGCAAAGAAGGATGGCTGTGGGAATACTGACACAATATCTGGGATCATGGCAACGACCTGTTGCGTATATGTCCAAACAACTGGATGCAGTAGCCAGTGGTCTTCCTCCTTGTCTAAGGGCCGTAGCTGCTGCCGCCCTGTTGGTAGCAGAAGCTGACAAGCTCACTCTGGGTCAGGAACTCTATGTGCGAGTCCCGCACGCAGTACAGACATTGCTAGACTATAAAGGTAATCATTGGTTTAGCAATAGCCGCATGACTAAGTATCAAGCCATGTTATGCGAGAACCCGAGAGTGCATCTTGAGACTGTAAATACCTTGAACCCAGCTACCCTCTTGCCGCAACCTACTGAGAGTCGACATGATTGCCTGGAGGTAATGGATGAAGTGTTCTCAAGTAGACCGGACCTTCATGATTTTCCCATCCAGAACCCCGATGTTCAGTATTACACGGACGGCAGTAGTTACGTGAAAGAAGGGATTCGCTATGCCGGATATGCAGTGACAACTATAGACAAGGTGACAGAAGCACGGCCATTGTCAAAAGGAACATCAGCACAGAAGGCAGAATTAATCGCACTTACACGGGCTTTGCAATTGGCTGAAGGGTTGAAAGTAAATATCTACACGGACTCAAAGTACGCGTTTTTAACCAATCATGCCCATGGAGCTTTGTATAAAGAAAGAGGATTACTGACCTCAGAAGGAAAATAAATCAAGTACGCAGCTGAGATATTACAACTATTGGAAGCTGTATGGGAGCCGAAGGAAGTTGGTATCATACATTGTTGAGCACATCTGAAAGGTGATGGTGATGTGGTGAAAGGAAATCGGATGGCAGATAGTGCAGCTAAGCGTGCCGCTGAATCCGGACAAAAAGAATATGTGGAGTGTGTAGCAGCTCTTATACCGACCCCTCTGTCCCAGTGGACTCCAGTTTATACAGCTCAAGAAGTAGAGTGGTTAAAGACTGAAGCTGGGAAATATTTGGAGAATAATTGGTATCAGTTAGAAGATGGAAGAATAGTTATTCAAGCATCGCTAGCTGTAGAAATTGTCCAGAATTATCATTATGGGACACATTCTGGAAGAGATAGTATGGAAGAATCTCTTAGAAAGCATTTCTACATACCAAGATTGTTCAACTTGACTCAAGCCATTGTTCGAAGATGCGTGTCATGTGCTAAGAACAACGCAAGGCAAGGTCCAGTGAAACCACCGGGAGTCCAGTACATGGGAGGGCTTCCTATGTCCGATCTCCAAATAGACTACACGGTAATGCCCAAATCCGGCGGACATCATTACCTACTAGTAGCTGTGTGTACCTACTCAGGATGGGTAGAGGCGTGTCCAACTCGTACAGAGAAAGCAGGAGAAGTTGTGCGATTTCTGTTGCGAGAAATAATACCCCGATATGGACTACCATGTTCTATAGGATCAGATAATGGTCCAGCTTTTGTCCATCAGTGCCTACAACAACTGACTCATATGCTTGGTATTAAGTGGAAACTTCATACAGCATATAGGCCTCAGAGTCCTGGGAAAGTGGAAAGGATGAACAGAACCATTAAGACCCAGTTGGCAAAAATGTGTCAAGAAACCCAACTCAAGTGGAATGTTCTTTTGCCAATAGCTCTGTTGCGCATTCGTAGTACACCTACCAGAAAGTTAGGTCTATCACCCTTTGAAATTATGTATAGGAGTCTACTTCCCATACTTAGTAACTTAAGGGGGGACTTGAGTCAGTTGGGAGAAGGAATTACCCGGCGGCAGGTTGTAGAGTTGGGTAAAACTATGGAGGAGGTACAGAAATGGGTACAAGATAGGTTACCTGTAAATATTTATCCACCTGTCCATTCTTACCACCCAGGAGACCAAGTTTGGATAAAGGAGTGGAACAGTGTACCGTTGGGGCCAAAGTGGAGGGGTCCTTATGCTGTTCTTTTGTCTACTCCAACAGCTATAAAGGTGGCAGAGGTGACTCAGTGGATTCATCACTCCAGGGTTAAACCAGCAGCAGATTCTTGGCAAGCTATTCAAGATCCTGAGAATCCCTGCAAGATCCGGTTGAAGCGAGTGACCCAGTTAGATTAAAAGTGTTTTTTGCGAAGAGTATTGTTACAAGGGAACATCAACAAAGATCTACAAGTAGGTGTTTTGACAGCCACAATAAAGCCTGACCACCTACCAACGTTTAAGCCAGAGGAATCCTCTGTGAAGAACAGTGAGGATCAGAAGGACTCCATTCCCTGCAGCCCTCACACGCCTGGAAGCTGAGGTGCCGTCGCACGGTCGAAGAATTAGGAAGATGATGTCAGGAGTAATGTGTTTGATGATGTATATATATGTGTTTTTAATTATTCAGGAAGGTAGAGGTACCGACACACCAGGCTGCAAGGTTTGCATTAAGACTACGAAAACAGGCAATCGTATTTCCCAGACCCTTATTTGGCATTCGCAATATGAGTGCACAGGACATGTATCAAAGTGTAGATACCTAGGTACAGATTATAGTGTATGCCATATAGGAGCAGGAGAACCTGATTAAAAAAGAAGGTGTTTTAATCCTGAGTATCAGCCCCGTACAATTTGGTTGACTATTCGGAATGAGAACGCACAGGGGAACCTGATAAATAAGACTGTACTAGAAAGCGTACATTCTCCAGGTGTTTTGCTATTTGATGCATGTAAGGCGATATCAGGTAGTAGGAAGCCATGAAATGTATGTTGTGGTCTTAAATGGGAAACATCATATGGGTCTAATGATAAGTATATTTGTCCTAGTAATAAGCATAAGTATATAGATCCAAACTGCCTAAATAAAGACTACAATTATTGTCCGTATTGGTCCTGTGTGGGATGGGCAACCTGGGGGCAGACAGTAGATAAGGATATGATTATCACTAGATTGCCTACCAAGCCATATTGTAAGTCTATGGAGTGTAACCCAGTCTGGGTACTTATCAAGGACCCAGAGCTATTTATAGATAAGTTTGGGAATCTATTTGGGTTCCAAATATATGGAACAGGTTTGGATCCTGGGACGATATTATACATAGGAATAGAAACAGATACAGTGCCCCCCCAGACTCATCAGGTTTTCCATTCTTTTTATGAGGAGATGAGTGTGGAAGATAAGGTTCCCCATAATGCCAAAAACTTATTCATAGACCTAGCTGAGAGCATTGCTGGTAGTCTTAATGTAACCAACTGCTATGTGTGTGGAGGTACTAATATGGGAGACCAATGGCCTTGGGAAGCAAAGGAGGTAATGTATTCTGGTTCTGAGACAGTTGAACAACTAATATCTTCTCAATCTGATTATCAAGTGAATGTTAGAGGTAAATCTGAGTGGCGATTAAAGACCTCCATTATAAGTTATGTTTGTATAGCAAGGAAAGGAATAATGTTTAATACATCTGTAGGATAATTGACTTGTTTAGGGCAGAAAGCCTATAATGACGATACAAAGGATACTATTTGGTGGTCAGCTTCAAATGTCTCACAACCGTCTAATCCGTTTGCAAATTATACCAATTTAAAGGATGTATGGTTTGACCTATCTGCTACATCTAGTTGGAAAGCCCCAGCAAATTTGTACTGGATTTGTGGTAAGAAAGCATATTCGGAGTTACCACAGGACTGACAAGGGGCATGTGTATTGGGTATGCTCAAACCATCCTTCTTCTTGTTGCCAATTGAAACAGGAGAGACTTTGGGAGTTAAAGTATATGATGTAAATCATAGGAAGAAAAGGGCACCCCTAGAGATAGGTACCTGGGAAGATGATGAGTGGCCTCCCCAGCGTATTATAGATTATTATGGGCCAGCTACGTGGGCAGAGGATGGTACTTATGGATACAGAACCCCAATATATATGCTTAATCGTATTATAAGATCGCAAGCAGTAGTTGAGATAGTTACCAATGAAACATAACAAGCGCTCAATCTCCTAGCGAAGCATAACACTAGGATGAGGACAGCCATCTACCAGAATAGATTAATTTTGGATTACCTATTGGCAGTAGAGGGAGGTGTATGTGGGAAGTTTAATCTAAGCAATTGTTGTCTTCACATAGATGATGAAGGGCAAGCAATAGCTGAGCTTACTAGCCATATGGTTAAGCTAGCACATGTACCTACTCAGGTATGGAAAGGGTATAATCCGAGTAGTTGGTTTGGTAGTTGGTATGAGCAGTTTGGGGGAATCAAGGCATTGGTAGGTGGAGTCATACTGATTTTGATGTTGTGTCTCCTTCTGCCATGTCTGATTCCTTTGGTAATTAGGTCTATGCAGAGCATTATAGAAAGTATAGCAGAAAGAAAGGCCGCAGCACAGGTAATGGCTGTTTGCAGGTATGACGCTCTAGATCAAGGAGAATACATGCAGGAAGAGGAATGTTGAGGGGTTCGTATCTTTAGAGGATCGCAAAGTCTAGTCTAGTTTATGGCAACTTGAGGTGTAAGCAAACTATGATTGGTGATGCATCTGGAATTATTTTAAATCAGAAGCATCAAAGGGGGGAATGTGATGGAATTCCAGTAAAATACAAGTTTAGCAGGACAAGATTGCCACAAGGCATATGTAGGTACATGTGTTTGTAGTATCAGTTAGTTACACGTAGCTAAGATACTGTCATCACTGTACTGAGCATGTGCAGGAATGCAGGAACTGGAATTACGCGTTCCTCTCCTTTGTTTCAGATGAGCCACGTGGTTAGACCGGATGGATGAGTTTAGACTCTATTCATTGATTAGGTTAAGGGTATGTGTGGGCGTAGCTAATTATGGGAGAAGATACAGTGCTATATAAGAAATGTACTCTATGTATTCAGTACTCAGATCTTTGCTGTTTTTGGTGACATAAGTCCCTCTGAGTGAATCAAATAAAGATCTCTTCCTTCCTGAAGAAACCTGTGTCCATCTCTCTGTGCTTGGCCTCCGTCAGTTTCCCGGTAACAGGTGTACCAATCTTTATAATTTAAAGGACCACTATAGTGCCAGGAAAACATACTCGTTTTCCTGGCACTATAGTGCCCTGAGGGTGCCCCCACCCTCAGGGACCCCCTCCCGCCAGGCTCTGGAGAGAGGAAGGGGTTAAACACTTACCTTTCTCCAGCGCCGGGCGGGGAGCTGTACTCCTCCTCTCCTCCTTGCTCGCGACGTCATCCTCCAGAGCCTCTAGTGGCTGTCTCATTGACAGCCGCTAGAGGCGCCTTTGGCGCGGCTTCCTTCACTGTGAAAATCAAGACGCGCAGATTCAGTTGGTCGTGATAGGAAAGCATTTACAGTCAAGCTTTATGGATGCTATGCGCTCCTCACCGTGATTTCGCTGTTTTATATATAGTTTCAGCGCCGTCACGAGAGCGTCACTCAGAGGTTTCTGGGAGGGCTGGATTACCCCTCAGTATAAACATAGCAGTTTCTCTGGAACTGCTATGTTTATAAAAAAAAAGGGTTAATCCTAGAGGTACCTGGCACCCAGACCACTTCATTAAGCTGAAGTGGTCTGGGTGCCTAGAGTGGTCCTTTAAGAGCACATATTATTTTAAGATTTATTAAGATACCTTAATTAATATTGTTTATAAACATCTGACCATTAAATCATGAGTAGAACTTGTCGATAAAAATGAGGGAAGTACGATACAATTGAAGGATAGTAAGTTTGTGAGTTCATCTCTTTAAATAATATAAATGGAAAGAGGAGGAAGAGAAAAGGGGGGAAACGAAAAGAGAAAAAGGAGAGGATAAAGGGAAAGGTAAAGGGAGGAGATTCATTTATATGAATATAATAGGGGGTATAATATAAAGGAGTCCTTATATAATTTTCTAGTCTCCTGAGCCCTGCCAAAAACCCCCTTCAAATAATAATTATAATGATATAACATCTAAATATGCTAAGTATATTTTTAGCATATGTTTTACTAGTCTGACAACTTTAAGATACATAAGTCAAGTTTCAAATTTATTCTAAAAAATTCTAACTTCTAATTTTAATTCTAAACTTCTAATTCTAATTAATAGGGATTGCACTCTATTTACAACATACAAAGCATTTTTGGCTTCTATATTTAA